TGAATGCTACCTAACAAGAAAAACTTCAAGAAAAAGAACAATCAGCCGGCTGAAAACTAATATAGACAGATCTAAAATCTGATATACAAGACTGAATTCGATTACCAATTTGTGCAGAAATCAAGTGAGGACGAAACCTTGATCTCCAATTGCTTTCCCCCCCTTCGAATTCAGCTTCTTCTTCTCTTGAAGCTGCTTGTTCCTCCTCTCTTCTCCTCTCTTGCACCTATCTCTTTCTCTTCTTCTCTCTTAGAACAAGAGCTCAAGGAGAGTTTGAAATCAGATGTTGGACTCCTTTTCCCTTGGCTCTCTTCTCCTTTTATAGCCTTCTCCTCAGCCCCTTTCCTCATCTAGAAAGTTCTCTCCTCTAAAAAGTTCTCTCATCTAGAAAGTTCTACAATGCGGTTCTAGATAATTTGGGCTCGATTTTGACCCCGATTCAGTCCGTTTCTATCACAACGCAAAACATGAAAGTTCTAGAACTTTTCCTTATCTTTCCAACTCATCTTGAATCATCTCAATCAGAGTCCGGATGAGAGAGTTATGCCCAAATTACTATTCGGTGCCGAAATTGTCCATAATTACCCAATTAGCCTTGTTTTTCACTTAATGCCTCTTTTCTCTCTTCTAGAAAGTTTCCCGCCTTTAGGCTCCTTGGGCTGCACTTTGGGATGCTCTTGAGCTGCTCTTGATCTGCAAATGGGCCTCCTCATTGCTGGGCCGAATAGGCTCCATTGGAGAGCTTCGGTTGTGCTCTCTCTTTGGGCTTTCTCAAAGAGTGCAGCATGGGTTGCATGGGCCGAATGGCCCTCCTTTGACCTCTAGGCTGGGCCTTACTCCCAGTTGGGCTGTATCACCTTCTATTTGGCATCCTTTAGCATGATTTTATGCTCTTTTTTCCTAGACTTGTCCCTTTTGACAATTTCCTGAAATCAAGCTAAATTGGGGTAAGAATTCACACTAATCAGCATCAAAACCATGCATAAACACCAGAATTTATATGTAAATTGTGCACACATCACCAATTTCCAGTTCGGGTGTCATAACCTCCACTGCCAGTTGCCAGTTCAGGTGTCATAACCTCCACTGCCAGTTGCCAGGGCCGCCTCTGTCTGTCTGGGATGGTGGTGGCAGGTGGCCGTTGGATGGCGGCTGTCATGTGTCAGTCCCCTAATTAGTCAGGTGCGCCACCTCCGTGTACGGTCTCCTGGGCGTTAGGTACGGTTGTTTAGTCAGGCGACTTAGAGCCGAAGTGGTGTGCGAGGTGAAGTCTTGAGTTCGGATAGAAGTATGGCCCGAACTGCCCCTAGATGGGCAGTTCGGGTTTTTTGCCTTTTGTGCTCTTTGTAAGGCTCAGGACCTCGAAGGGAGAGCTTGGGTTCCTCCTTGGGGAGCTCAGGACTCTTTAACTCGGAGCTCGGGTTGTAGGTTCCTCGAGGGAGCTCAGGACTCTTTAGTTCGGAACTTGGGTTGTGGGCCTGCTGCCGTGCTGAACTGGCGCTTCTGCCAGGTCACTCTTGGTTGCTTCCACGTGTCGCATGGCCAAGGGGTCGAGTCAAATCTTCCTCCATCAACCCCCTTTATGAGAGAAACAAAAAAAAAGTTGTTAGCGTTTTAGGGCCTGTTTGTTTGCTCTAAAGTCTGACATAAAGTGCTATAATTACATTAAGAGGTATATTGGTATTGGTTAACTTTTCTTTCCTTTGAACTCTGAAGGCAAAGAATTTTGTTTTGAATTCTAAATATTATCAAATATCCATTTTGACCCCATATATGAGAGTTTTTGTTTTTCTTTTTGGGGTATCATTGGAAAACAAAAAGTTATATGATTGCACTTTAGGTTGCGTTTGGTTGCAATGCAAACACAAATATGTACACTATATATTTATCCATTATTCGGTTCATGAATGCAAACACGGTTCATACTTTAAATCATTTTTGCATTCATCTTGTTTGTTTGAAATCGTTGCAAAAGTGTGATCCCATCATTAAATGCTCCAAATATCATATGCTTTAATGCCTTTATTTTGGTCAAAAAATTAATTATCAAGAGAGCACAAAATTGTATCTAAAAAATAGGTACATTAATGCTTTCTTTTCAGAGTACAAAAGTGTTAGAAAATGCATTTTTGCTTTGATAATCATTACTTTTTTACGCATTAAACAAACGCTTGCAAATGTGAACCGGACTACATAAATACCCCAGTTTGGCGTTTGTGTCATAAACAAACGGAGCCTTAACCTCAATTTCGAAGGAATACAAATGTAAATATGTAGAGTGCAAAGCCTTATATTTGGTATTATTTTATATGTATTTGCACTGTACATATTTGCATTTGTACTCTTTCCAAACTGAGCCAAATAAGAGATAAGAGGAAACGAATAACCATTTTTCTTAAAATTGAAAAATTCTTTTTAAGAGATAAGAGTTAAGAGGAAATGAAAAGACCCTTAATGTAAAATAGTTAAAATAATAATAGCTAAAATTTATGTTCATTTCATGAAAAAAAATGTCTCATGTAAATTAATGAATTTGGATTTGGAATGGCATCGGCACAACAAGACGTTAGCAAAGGAAGCAATGTGCAGATAGGCTATCTAAACTAGGTTTTTAAGAACAATAAACTAGACTTCCTATTTAGTATACTAGTGTACTAGTGTTCCCTCGTCTATGTAAAGTTGGCCTTTAGTCTTTAATATCCTTTTAGAGATAATAAAACAAATTAGTTAATTTAAAAGAAAGGAATGGCATGGAAAAGAGGGCCTTCAACTGGTGGTGATTAAGATGAAAGTAACTATAGGGGCATAGTTTGGCTGGGCTGGGTTTAAGTTCAATCCTAAAAATTGGACCCAAGTCCCGAGTTTGGACTGAGTTTGGAATCAAACCTAATATGTTTAATATAGGCCCATCCCACACTCAAATTTGATGTAATGGGATTTACCTTGGCCTTGGGCCTAAGCTAGGTTCCGGGTGGTCAATCAATCAACAGTATAATTTGAGATAAACATATCACACATGTATAGTATATATGAATATGTTTTTATATGATCGAAATTAACTTGGGTTTAGATAAACTTAAAGTATAGGACCAGGATCAAGATACCTAAAGAGATAAGCCTAAGCTTAACTTAAAAAAAAAAAAAAAGAAAAGTCTGAACTTTTGAGCCTAAGCTTAATTTATATAAAATTACCCATTAAATTGGTTCAGACTCAAGTTGGACTCGCCTAAATTGAACCCAAGTAAATGGATAATGGAAGTATAAATAATAGTACAGCATCTCTCACTTTCTCTCTCTGACTGAGATAGAGGAGACCCTTCATTTGCATGTAAAAGTCCTTAACTAAATCACATGGCTTTCTCCCCCCAGTTGGTTAATTAAAATATGGTTGGATAGAGATGATTTTGACTTTTTGTCATGAAATGTTTTGTTTATCTGTTCAAAAAATGTATACAATCACATGGCCTAGTCTCCTAGAGTCGTAGTGTGGGGGGTCATTAGTTTGGATCTGTGATTGTCCTTAGGCTTTTCTATTTAAATGTTTATTTCATATTTTAATTTTTAGAAACTCAGATTCAACTGGGGTGTGGGTGTGGGTGGCGGTTCAGACTTGAGAGTTCAAAGTGGTGGAGCGTGGGGGACCATTTCCATTTTCCTGGGAGGGAGGGAAGGAGACTGGAATTGATTAATTAATTCCTAATATCCCCTGATCAGTAAACTCTACCTTGGGGCTTGGGGTTTGGATGCAATTAAGACGTAAACAATTAACTATAAGAAATAAAAGTTAAAAGGGTAACCCCCTCACCACCTCAACACCTCACCCGTTGGAATTTAATATTTGAATTACATACAACCCTTGGAATTGGATTGGTGTCAATATGTGAGTGATTATTTCTCAATAGTCGACCAATATTCAAATTCGAGTACAAACAAGTCTCTCACCTTCATGACACAAACTCCTTTGATGAGTGAACAAGTCATACCCGGTTGCGGTTCTCTATTGTTTTCAAGCCTGATTGATTGATTGGTCATTTGGTTGTAGTAGCTAGATGAGCAATATATCAAATCAAATAATGCATCCACCCTGCAATGCATGTTGCATGACCCCACCTAATCTTTAAAAAATATTTGAATCTATTCTTCAATTAGGGGAATTAGGGTCCCAATGCCAATGAGTGTTGTGTTAGGACCAGAACCAGATCCGAAACTCCCACTAAACAAAGAGCTAACGCAATTCTTGTACGCCTCGTCCTCGCCCTAGCCCTAGCCCTACACAGGCTACAGATGGTGCAATACATGAAAAGACACATTATCAGAAAATAGCCGGACATGTCTCTTCAATTGGATCCCACATCTGTAGTTGTACTCTACTCTCTACCCTACCTATAACAAAATCATCGTCCTTACTTATGAAACGCACAACCCTCATTAAGGAACAAGTTTCATTAACAATCTATCAAACTAAATAAGACAAAACAAATGTGTATATATATATATATAGTCATTTTGCGCTTAGCCAAGACTCTTAAAAGTGTGATTAATTATAAGAAGAAAATTCTTCTAGTTATTTTCCTTAATTTTTATTTATAAATACTGTACTGGCACTGCAAAGTGCAGCGCTAATCTTGCTGCAGGCCTCCGGAAGAAAAAAAAAAAGTGGTGTTATTAGGGAAATAGACTACCTACAATAACTACAATTGTACTTGGTTGTTGGGGGCAAATAAAGAGAATTCAAGTGAAGAATTTAATGGTACCACCCTGCACCCCCTCCAAAGTCCAAAATCCAACAAGAGTAGCAAGAAGAAAATGTCTTGGATCTACCCAACCATCTGGGTTGCTCATCAACTAATTAATGAAAAACGGCAGTCGCCGGTGAAAGATGGACATTGGCGGTTAGGAAACAGAACAGCTAGCCCCGGTTTCAATTGCTTAATTAAAAAAAAAAAAAAAAAATAACAAAGGAATTCTTGAGACAGACGCATGAACATGTCCAATCTCCAAGAAACTAATTTACTCTGTCCTCAATCATCTGATCTGTGTTTTGAAAGAAACAAATAAATAACTGAATGTAGAACATACATCTATAATAATTAAACTTGGAGCTGTTTTCTGTCCCCATCATCATTCCCTTTAGTCTGATTGTTAGTAGAAGCTAGGCCTAATAAGCCTCCATCACCATTTGTAGCTCCACCAGCACCAGCCGTGCCAACACTCCTATTCCCCATCATCCCAACCCCAAACTTGTTATTACCCAAAATTTCCATCCCCCAATCCCAAACATTCAACACAATGTATGTCCCAATCCCACCTATCAATCCATACGCTATGGAGTAAGTCAATGGCATCAATATCAGTGTGACGAATGCCGGGATTGCTTGCTTCATATCATTCCACTCGATTTCCACCACCGATCTCATCATCAATACTCCCACCAATATAAGCGGCGGTCCCACCGCCCACGCCGGAATTGACGCCAGCAACGGCGTCAAGAAGAAAGCCATAAAGAAATACCCCGCTACCGTCAGTGCCGTTAGACCCGTCCGGCCACCTTCCCGGATCCCCGTCGATGACTCAATGAACGCAGTCACCGGGGAAGTACCCAGCAACGACCCCACCACGATAGACGCCGCGTCCGACATGAAGGCAAAGTACTGACCCTCGAAGTCTCCGTTGGCGTCCATGAATCCCGCAAATCGGGCCATCGAGTAAAGCGTTCCCGTAGTGTCTAGTATATCCACGTACAAGAACGTAACCAGGGCCTCCCAGAAATACCCTTTCCCTATTCCCTTGAAGCTCAGAGCGCCGGCCGTACTTTCGATGGCGTGCACGTCCACGACCTTTTTAAAATACTGATACGCCGAGTTACCCGACTCCGTATCGGGAAACGCCGTCACTCTCGTGTTTCGGAACCAAGATACAGCCGTTACGAATAAAATGCCGTATATCATCGCGCCCTTTATATTCTTCACCAAACAATAAGCAATTATGACGAAACCAACGATGCCCAGCCAGAAAGTTGGGCTTTCCATTCGGTTATGCAGGCACAAGATATCGCTCGATACGGTCCCTCCCGGTAGCAGACTAACCGTGCCGTTGGCCGCCGTTATGACCGGTGCGAGGGATGCTCGAGACGATGTCGGGCATGCGGCTAGCGTCACCAGCGTAGACGAGCTGTATCCCACCAGTCCGATTCCCTGGTTGTTCTGTAGCCCAATAAAGGCAAGAAATAGGCCGATCCCGGCAGAGGATGAGATTCTTACAGGTTCGGGGACGAGTTTGGCGAGTTTGGTTCGTAACCCAATTGCCGAAATCAGGAGAAAAATCAAACCTTCGATGAAAACGGCCGCTAAAGCACTCTTGTAGGGGACGTTGCCGGAGCCGTGGAACCCGACGACGGTGTAAGCAAAATAAGCGTTAGTACCCATTCCGGGAGCCAAGGCTAAGGGAAGGTTCGCGAAGACACCCATGATTACACAGCCGACAAGAGAAGAAGCGACGGTCGCGACGATTAGGTCCTTGCGGATTTTGTCAAGACAGGCTGAATACCCCGGGTTGACCGGTGGAAACTTACATGACTCGTCGGGTTGCACAAGCCTGAGACTGACCCCATCGGAGGAAGTGCCGGAGCAATTGGAAGGTGAGATGGAAGGGACGTTACAGAGAGGTATGCAATCGGAAACGGAACAAGTGCCGCCGGAGTCGGAGAGGATGCTAGCGTTGACTGCGAGGATGTAGGCCATGGTGAGGAACGTGGCGGTACCAGCACGTAGCTCTGTTGTAAAGGTAGAATTTCGCTCCCTGAGTTTGAAACGTTTTCCGACTCGACTATTGGCGACGAACGAGTTAAGCCGAGTAGAGAGAGGGGACCTTGGGGGTGGCGTTGGAGTCTCCATGAGGGAGAGGAGATAGCTTTTTTTCTTTTTTTTCCTTGTGGCCTTGTGGGGGTGTGGATTTGTTCACTTCCCTGTGATTCTTCTTCTGCTATATGCAGAATTGCAGATCAGCAGATGTGTGTGTGTGTGTGAGGAAGAGAGAGGTGAATTGAATTAGCCGGACGAGTATTGTCAGCTCGGCGTTTAATACCAATAAGTAATAGCGCGGCTGGGTTGAGTTGTGATTCCATTTTGGAGGAGGATAGTCACAGCCCATAGGGTGGGTAGATTCCGTAACGGGATCTTTCTTTTATTTCCTTTGTGGAGTTGATACTCCTCGTTATTCATATCCTTGGCTAAGTGGGAAATCGACAAATCCGCTTTTGACTGTTGACGTGAGAAAACTCAAATCTGAATGCAAATTCAATAAGCTTAGGTCACAAGCTCAGCCGTCGGATTTCGCTCTTCAACACACACACGTCACATGCTGAAGTTTTCTTTCTTTTCGATAAGTATACAGGTTGCGATTTTCATTTGGTGAGACTGGACTTCGGAGATTTTTCCGTCGTTCCAACTTTTACGGCTGCGCCGCACCCGATCCCAATCATTTTTTTGAGATTTATACGTGATACCGGATCACAGTCCGGATCTCCTGCCCACAAGAACCCTACCTACGGTGAGTGATGTGCGGGTTCTTCATTCTTGTGGGTGGAAGATCAGAACGCGCGGCACAGTCCGGCCGCCGTTTTATTTTAAGTCAATTGACCAAGAAAGGATTTCCATCTTGTCAATCGTCGGCACCGGCAAGTTTCTATTTGCATAAATTAATAATAATAGTCGGATTTTCTCGGTGCATTTAAGGCCCTGTTTGTTTTCCCCCTTGAATAGTTTGGAAAGAGTATAAATATAAATATATATGATATAAATATAAATAAAATAATAAAAAATACAAAAGTTTACACTACAAATTTGTATTTATACATCTTCCAAACTAAGCAATTGGATAAATATACATACCCGGCCAAGAGAGAGAGCACATTATAAGCGCTAAGGCATACATAAATTATTTGACCATCTTTCATGAGGGTATCAATTACCTAGCTAGGTAACTGATCATCTCAAATATCTTGACTTATCATGAAGTGATGAAACCCAATATAAAGACACGAATATATAGATTATGTTAATTGTCCATTTGACCAATTTACCCCGCTAACTAGTAGCAACTAACGGGGTCTAAAGGTTTTTGTTCAAACTTCTTATCAATTGAATGATTGATGGCTTTGCTTAAAAAAAAAAGAAAAAAACATTTTCCTAAGTTGATACTGATTAGTTGAAATCTTCTCAACTTTTCTATAAGAAAAAAAAAATAAAACAAAAACTAGGGTTGTTTGGATCTTATGACTGCATGGAAGGTCCGCCCGAGCTGTATTGCAATGTTTTTATTTTGAAAATTTTGGGATTTCAGAAAAATCAATGATTAGTTCTATCAATTTCCTTTTTTCTTTTTTTGCAAAGAATTGTAGGGTTTATGGAAAATGCATTTTTTCTTCAATAAACAACAAGATAAATTTTTGACAAAATAATAGGATAGAAATGAGGTTTAAGGGGTGTTCTACAACATGAATGTTTTTGTTTTCATTTTGTTTTTGGAATTGCTACATCAGCAAAAAACGAAAAACAAAAACATATTCTTGAATTCTGTTTTGTTTTCAAAGAAAAAACAAGTTGATTTTGTTTAAAAAACAATACATGTTTTTGTGAAACCAACAAAATATTGGTTTTTAAAACAAAACAAATTTTCTAATGTAAAAATTATATGATAATATTGAATGATCAAATGAAAACATGTTTCTAAAACACATTCAAGAACATATTTTTTATTTCAATTTTAAAAACAAAAAACACATTCACAACCAAAAACATGTTTCTTATGTTTTTGTTTTCAAAAAACAATCTGTTTTTGGAACCAGCGACAAGAAAAACAATTTATGTTGCAACCCTTAGGCCATTGTGGTAATAAGGACGAAGACGATTGACTCCATTGAAATTGAACCACAACTCATTATTTTCTTGATGAAAATTTATTAATATTAAAAACTGCAGGTGTTCGGCATTTCACATCCTCCTCATACCAAGTTTTCACAAGGGAAAGAGCTGGACCCATTGTCAATTCCAAAAGGGTCCTCTCCTCCCATCTTATGGCCGTTCTGTATTCACAACTTCATTCTTTCCAGGTGGCAAAAAGAGACTGTGGATAGTTATAAGAATATATGTCTGTTCTCTCTCTCCCTATGCAGAAAGAGTATAGATATTTGGTTGCTTTTGTTGAGAAAACATGTGGTTGTCATACCCTAATTTATCACACCCACAATCTTTTTATTTTTTCTGTTCATGTCAATCCACATAACATCGCAGTCACATATGAGAATATCTCATCCTCCTACATAGTATTATACAGATGTTTTTAATACACGGAAATAATGTGTTGTGGATAGACATAAACAAAGTTCTTATGGGCAGAAGATCCGCAGTCCTTTGTCACAATCACACAATTCACAAGAGTAGTCGCTTCTCTAACAAACCATACTCTTGTTCTTTCTTATAAAAAAGAAAAAAAGAAAAGAAAAAACCATACTCTTGTCTCATATACTGTTTTTCTTATATTAATATGGGTCTCTCAGACAAAACGAAAAAAAAAAAGTAGTGGACTACTAGGGGCTGAGATGGGATTAACGTTGGAGCCAACCATTTTAGCATACGTGGTGGATATATAACTGGATCTGCAACCTTAGATTCTACCTGATTTTATCATATAGTCATTACTTTTTCATTCCTTCGTTAGGTGGGTATCCTTTAATGCTATTTATTTATATAGTCGCTTTTTAAGAAAAAAATCTAGACATGGTATCAAAAAGAGTTTTGAGAAATCAAAGCATTATTGTGAATTTTGATGAATACCATAATTGATCATCTCTTTTATTTTATGATACCCGTTGATCGGCTCCAAGTTTTTTTAGTATTATGTCTATCCTGTATCATAGTCGAACCCATTTTATATATTGTCAGATTTGCATTTCCAATGTTTGATATTGCTACAGGGTGCGTATGGGCTGTGGTGGCCCTATACAGGCCCCCGGCTTGAAGCTTAATTTGCTGCAGCAAATTAAGGCCCCGTTTTGTATATTTTTTTGTATGATCTTTTGGTTATTTATAAGTCAGAAAGACTAATTTTCGGTTTATTTTTGTTTGATTCGCGGAAGATCTAATCGTCAAAAGACAATACATCGAAAAGACATGAAAAATCTATTTTAGATTGATTTCGGGAAGTTTCTCACATCTTTCATGTTCTAATCTCACACAGAAAGATGTAGCCAAACACACAGAAAGATACGTGTCTGCCAAACTGTCTTCGGACTACTCAGATCTTATGCCAAAAGTTCAATTCATCTTTTGACCATTGGAACTCCAAGAAGATCTTCTCAAAAAAACATGTCAAACGGACTCAAAATATGAACGCATTGGTCATAACGGTCTTTTCATTTCGTACTACTTTTAGTCAACATAAAGTTGGCTCCGCTTTTCGAACCAATTGATAAGCTTAGAGTTAGTATATGGGTTGGGGCGAACCTCAATCATGAACCAATTGAGCTGTTTAATCCAAAAAAAAAAAAGCAATTACACCTTTCAATAGAGCGTAGGGCTGCAAATGGATCAGAACGAATCGGATATAGGCATATCCGAATTTGATTTGTTAATATTCGAATTCGAATCGATCCTATTTATAGAATATCTAACAGATTTGAATTGAATTTGAATTATAATTAGATATGAAATAGTATAAATAAATTAGACTAAAAATAACCAAAATATTATATATTATTAATAAGATAAATTAAAAATGACTTTAATAATATATTTTGTAAATAATTATAAACGGATCGAAAAATTGAATTGGATAATCGGATACCGTTTGCAGCCCTAGATAGAATGGCACTTGCATATATACGCCATTTGTTTGCCAGCAATCTTGTGCGCTAAATGTATGAAATTTAGGAATTAGGCCCAATAAAGCCTATTAGAAACCCGACATTTGGACTTACAGAACTCAGCATATTAGCCCATAGTGCTACCAGCTCGGATCTCTCATTCCTGTCAGCACGCAGAGAAAGATAAGATGCATGGGACATGGACAGTCTTGATGCTTAACATACAGGATTCTATCTTAAGTAAATCCCCAGTTGCTTTACCACAAAAGAAAGAAAAGGTCAAGGAATGCACATGCTATGTTATAAGAGAGTTGAAAGAGAAAAAGAGGGGAAAGGTACTTTTTTGGTTTTTGAAAAGGTGCTTTACTTGGTGATGGGTGTATGGGTTAGTGATCAAATTAAAACTGCAGATTGATCAGCTTTAAAGCTCTCTCATTTCTCATTTGATCCATGTCAGATTGAAGGAAATTTAAGGAAAAAAAATATAAAAGGTTCAACAGTATCAATAGATAATTATGTGCAGGCATGGGGGGTCCCAATTGATTGACATGTAGGCAAGTAATTTAATTATTGAAATTGAAAATATCAGTATATTTCATCACGTTTGTACATATATGTGTGTCTTCACTGCATCCCCTTCCACGGACCATGGTCCATACCTACCGAACAGATGTGGTAATTTACGTACCATGCATATATGTCCAATTTATTGATAAGTCCAGATCCAGAGAGGTGCACAATAATAACGTAACCATGGTGGTACACGTAGAATATGATCGATGATGATCTTTTGGGCTTTCCTCTTGTTTTAAAATGTACTAGTAGAATTGTCCGTGCGATGCATGAGATGATTAATCACATCCTAGTATATAAATTTAAACGAGTTGGCTGTAATTTCTTGACTGCTTGTGTTAGCATCAATTTGTTCAATTCTCGAAGTTTTGACCCAACATAAAACCACACTTCAATTTCTTTAATCCTAATTGAAACATGACCAAGGATTTCACTTGTTGTAATGGAAAAAACTAACATTTATATATCTTAAAAAAGCAAAAGTGACTATATTCATGTGATCCTTGTATAACATTCAACTTTTATTATGAGTGATCTGAAGCATTAATACTTGTACATGTAGTTCAAAAAGCTTGTTTAGAACATAAAAGAAGAAAAGTACCAAGACGAAAATACAAAATGACCAACATAGGTTTTACAAAAGCTGAACAATAATGCAGGTACTTCACATTTAGCAAAATCCACTCATCAATGCACTCCACATGAAAATTGTAAGCACAAGGGAGTCCATGAACCTGAAAAGCTTCCAATACGCACTTGCAACTTAACAATCTTAACATATCCTAAAATAGAAGGGGCAGCACCACAAAAGGAAAAGGGATAAGTGGATTGCAATCCACCTCAGAAATCTGAAAATGCAGCCCCCCCCCTTATAAACCGCATTCTGTCCGTGAATTTGGCATCAATCCACATACAAGATTCATTTGACTATGGGAAATGGTCAAGTACATTTAAAACTTGGCTAGAAAACTTTTCATGCCATGATTTTTTTTGCTTCTACAGTTTACAAAAATGACATCTATTATGTGTAATGTTTTTGAACCGTCATTGACCC